GACTCAAAAAAATTATTATAAGTACTTCAATGTATATACTATTAGATGCCATGAAGCACATTTCAATAAATGTTTGTCTATACTGCTAAAAAAAATCGTGAAAATCATCTTATTTTCCGCATTCCAACTGAGTATAACCCCTTAAAACATTATGAAATGGAAAGTAAATTTTACACCTCTAATAATCTTTATTAAACACACTATAATAGAATTAAATCAGTAAAAACTAGATCTGTTAGAATATTCAGTCCTTTTTTGTATTAAATTTTGTATTAAAAATAATTTTTACTTTGTGCCATTTGTCTGTCATAACTCGTCGTATATTATATTATATTATATTATATTAGTACTATTGTTATTGTAATTATTTACTATTTTTATATTTATAATATAACTAATTTTATATTTTTTCTACAGATGCTTTTCGAATTTTTAAACATGACATCTATAACAGAAGATGTGCTTTTTGATAAAACTATTTCTATGATCGACAAATTGATGAAATATTTTTATACAGAGAACTCTAATGAAAAATCAAAAGCATATGTTAGGGAAGAATTATAGAAGAAACTTACTAATAAAAAATTTCAAAAACAATGTTCTCCACTATTTATTATAAAAGAGGTAAATATATTATTGTGTGTGTGTGTGTATGTATAATACAAAGTAATATAAAGTAATTATAAATTTACGAAAAAAGGTTATGTCTTCAACTGACATTTTAACAACCAAGGAAGGAGAAGCTCCACGTGTAGTGATGTATTCGTATACATCAATCGAGGGAGAAATTGCAACAGCATATATAGTAACGGACGAAACAATTAAAGTTAAAGTTCCACAGCCAACTGTTTCGAGAGTTATTGTGTGTCTATTAAGTGCATATTATGTTTGGCACATACAGTATCCAACCTGTTATACAAATGTTCTTAAATATAGATCAGGAAATTCTAATTACTTCTTTGCAAGGTTGTTCTACTGTTGTGACAAAATTTATTCGTAAATGTAACAATACTCTAAAAACAAAATTGTGTGATGGTAAATCAATTTAAATTTTATTTGCTTAGATTATAAAAAATATAATTCGAAATTATATTTTCAAAATATATCTTCTATTCTTTATATTGTTTATCATAAAGTTTATTTTGTTTACGTTTTTTTTTAAATTTTGATTGGACGCACTCGAATGTCTCGGTATACATATATTGATATAACATATTTGTGAATCAATTATTAAACACGAACATTCTGAATCCTGAATATTCTAAGAAATCTTTTAAGTTGAATGTAATAATATGATTATACACATACAAAAATATGATTGTACACATAAAAAATATATAAAATGTATTTAAAAAAAAATAAAAATAAACCCGGGTAGAATTTTGTCGGGGCGTGCCCCACGTCCATATAGGGCCTGAACAGGCATGCCCTAAAATAGATCTGTCAACGTTGGGCCCAAATAGGGATATCCTAAAATAGGTCTGCCATCGTTGGGCCTAGAAAAGGCCTAGGCAGGAAATTTCTAGATGGAATTTCCTAAACAGGCCTTGAATGGGCACTGACGTGAGTGCCCCTAACAGGGCCTGCCATCGTTGGGCCTAGAAAGGGCCTAGGCAGGAAATTTCTAGATGGAATTTCATAAACAAGCCTTGAATGGGCACTGACGTGAGTGCCCCTAACAGGGCCTGCCATCGTTGGGCCTAGAAAGGGCCTAGGCAGAAAATTTCTAGATGGAATTTCCTAAACAGGCCCTGAATAGGCATTGACTGCCTTTAACAAGGCCTGCCACTGTTGGGTCTAGAAAGGGCTTAGAAAGGAAAATTCTAGATGGAATTTCCTAAACAGGCCCTGAAAAGACATATGACAATGATGTGTGTGTGAGTGCCCCTAACTAGGTCTGCCATAACTGAGCCATCACATATTGCTAAATAAGAGAAATTGTAAAAATAAAAGTCATAAACAGGTGCGAAATAGGTATAAATGTGGCGGTCCGAAACATACAATCCAAGCAGGGTTTAGTTTAATCAATTTCTGAAATAGTAATATGAAGCCTTATAGTGTTTCAGTTTGAAGTCTGAAGTAAAATTCACTATAATAAGTTTGAAGTAAAACCTATATAACTATAATGATTTTGGTTCCTAAAAATAGTATTTAAGTAGAAAATTTTACACAAATAGGCTACACTTAAGTTTACATTTTTAATTTTGTTATAAAAATGTTACTTTGAAATTTTACAAATAAATCACAATTGGAAGGAACGAGAATTTTAAACTGTTAGTGGCAACAATTATTTAAAGACGTTCCTTCAAAAATCACTTTTTCTTAGAATTTCCTCGAAATTTCCCCTTCATGCTTTGCAGTCAATGAAATTACGTACTTCACAGTAAGTAACACGCGGTTAGGAGCAGAAGCGCGTTGGATGAGCACGACTGCATGAGAGAACGTCTATTATCTTAAGGTAAGTATTTTTATGTCACTATATATTTTTAATGGATAAGGTAAGTATTTTAGCATTACAAAATTTTATGTAATTTTGAATAAAAAAATATGAAAAATAGATAAAAAATAAGAAGGAAGAAAGGGAAAACAAAGTTTCGAAATAAATATGTTACGAATTTTTTAATTTACTTTATTATGTGTGAAGTAGGGCATGATACAAATAGTTCATACAAATCTTCATCTGTCTGATCTTGTATATATAAAGCTGCTAATTTACATTTTACATGTTCTATTGATACATTAATTTTTTTAGTGGAATCTTCATCTTTAATTCTCCATACATTTATACGATCTGATTTAAATGATATGTACATAGCTCTTTCTTTCTTCAGTTCTTTACCTGTTATCATAATGTTTAACGAATTAATCGATCTTGACAATAGTTCTACTATTATACATGTTCCATTTTCTAATAGTAATACATTATCAGGATAAGTATTTTTTATTGTAAATTCTTTATATTTTAATGAGATAATATTGAAAATATTATCTAACCGTTTTTCTTTAATGATCTGTATTACAGATGGGTATTTCTCTGTTTACGAGATACTTTTCATGAAGTCTGCAACATATTTGAGCCAGAACATGGTTTCCAGAACGAACAAGTTGTTTGATTTTACCCAATGCATTTTCAAAGGGAAAGCAAGTTATTTTGCTTAAATTACATTTCATGTTTGTAACATCATCAACCAAATGTGTTAAATTGTGCATATTCATTGATTATGATTTTTTTCCATAATATTTTTGGGATAATTTCACAAATTTGCGAAGATATAATTTTATTTTTCCGGAATATTTCAAACTATATTCATCATTTGATAACAGACGACATGCGGTGTGAAATAATAGAAAATGTTTATAAAATTTCGGCTTCACTAATTTCTTAAAAAGCAAAGGTCCACTATAAAGGAGAATGAATCTGAGTTCAGTCGTTTTTAATTTAGCAAAATATTTTACTAACGATCTCGTTTTACGTTGGTATTCACAAGGTATTTGGTCTGACATTTTTACTAATCTTTCTGTTAAAATTTGTTTTTGACGATAATTTAACTTGAATCCTGAATTTTCAAGTCAAAATTCAAGTAATTTTTTCATAATTCCAATACAGCACAAATGCATAAAGTCTAGTACGAATTGATGTATCATATCTATTGGAGGATTAATGTCTAAAAGTGGTGAAACCTCAATGTGATGCTTAGGTTGTTCTTGCATTCGAAAACTCCTGTCTGTTCTTTTATCATAATTACCAGAAGTAAATATCAGTCTACTTTCAAATCTTTTACCTCGTATAATACATCGTTCACATGAAAAATAAGCAGTGTGACCTTTGCACTGTTTTAAAAAGATCTGGCTGATGTGTCGCATGTAAAACATTTTATAAGAACTTTGAAGCGTTTGTAAAGTATGTAATGTAAAGTATTTATTTCATTTATAAAATCCTTTAAAAATAATTCTATAGTACCTGGCTTTTGATCACCACAATATATAGCAACGGGAAATGGTTCATAAATGTCTGGAGAATAATCTATTTTTGCTAAAATTGTCCATAACTGTTTTAAACTGGAACGAAATAATGGCATTCCATCTACATTTAATATTAAATAAATTTTTTCATTGTGAAGTTCAACATTTATGTTTCCAATTCCTTTTCTTATACCAAAATAAACGAATTCTCCGTTTCCTAATCGTTCAATTTTATATTCCGCCATTCTTGTACCAAGAAATACCTTGGATGAGTTTGGCAATTGTGGAATTAAACGTCGTCTTAAAATATACAATAGTTTATCTAAATGTGCTGCGCGAATATTGCAATCAATAGCCCATTTACGAAGCTCACTAATTTCATTAAATTCTTCGTTATTGCCGCTATCAACTTGAGAATATTTATTATCTATTTCTTCATTGTTGTAATCTATCCAGTTTTCATCGGACTCATCGTTAATCTATAAAAGAAAAATTTTAATTGAAAAAATATAGCAGAAACTTGTTTATATATACACGACACAATTTAAAAATAACATAAACGAGGTGATTAGTTTTTTCTCGCAAATCAGATTTATATAGTATAAGAGATTTGAAAGAGCGTATCAAATATAAAGCTATTCTATTTGTACTTTATGTGAAACAGATTTTTGCATTTTACTTCCCCTATCATGGTACTTACAATAAATTGATACTTAAAGTATTTGATAACAATGATAAAGTGAAATAAAATATCACATTTCAAATGTCAAAAATTTTACATTTACAGGAATCGCTCTAGACCAAGATACATTATTTTTATATTTAACTCACATTCTGATCAGATGTATTATTGTTGTTCATATCAATGTCAGACAAGTTTACAGAATGTTGTCCAAACTCAATATTGCTTGCATAAATATTAAATTATATTCCATCAACCTATTTTATTCTTCTTCACAATTTTTTGATGTATCACTCGAACTAATTTCAAACTGTTCTTCTATCATATGTTCTGAAATTTCATCGAAATTTTGTTCTTTAGGAATATTTTTATTAATATCTTAGTCTCTCGTTTATTAGTAAAAATAATGAAAACACATATAATAATTAGGCATATTACAATTCATATTATTTATGTAAAATGTAAAATGTAAAGTAATTATAAACTTAACATTAAATAAAACAAAATCTGTGTAATTATAATTAATAATATATCTATAGTTATTGTATTTACTTAATTTTATTTTCAACAAATAACATCCTAGTATTATTTTTCTAATAAAAATAAAGATTTAAGATGATTTGAAAATTTTACCTGCTCTGCGCTTATTTTTATTTTCAAATGTTTCCAAACATCTTTTCTTTGCTCTATGCTTACGGACACGAACTATCGTTAATTTTCTTTGATACATTTTTCACAGAGATTAACTGTGGTAGATAAAATGCAATTTATAGTTATTTTGTTGTCCTTTTTGTTTAAGCGGAGATTTGTAGATCTATTTAAATAAATAATCAAAATAAAGAGTCAGATTAACTGAGTTATATATGAATACAAATAGATATGAATAACTAAACCGTATTTATTACAAATAAATTAAAGTTAAAATAACTAAGAAAAAATTATCATTCCGAGCCACACAGAATCTTTATCAGAATAGTTAAAAAATCAGAATAATATAAAATATTTATCATAACAAATTAATAAATAAATGGAACCGAAAAATAATACAAAAAATTCCAAATGAGTAGCTCGGCAGCAACGCAATTTTTGTATTATTTCTCGGTTTCGTTTATTTATTAATTTATGATAAATATTTTATTATTCTAATTTTTTAAATATACTGATGAGGATTAAACGTTAATTTTTTCTTAGTTATTTCAAGTTCAATTTATTTGTAATAAAAACTCGTTTATAGTTATTTATATCTATTCGTATTTATATGACTCGGTTAATCTGATCCTTTATTTTTATTTCGATTGTTATCATTTGACGAGTCAGTTTTTCTATCTTCTTTGTTATTTAAATAAAAATTAAATATAATGAACGAATTAAAAACACAAAATCTATAAAATTATTTGATGCTTTTTTTCTTACCTAGCTTCCGCGTATCACTTATATGCACTTAAGTGAGCGTGGGCACCCAAATAAATAAGATCTAAATACCGACCCATGTACATACGCCGAAAGAAAACGCAGTCAGAATTTGAAAATGGGCACTTCCCACAATTCACTCTTTTCGCGCTGATCCAATAGTCGCAAGGTTGGCTCGCGACTATTGGATCCCAGCCGTGGCGCGTGTCGGCGTGTTTACACCTTTAGACGGCGAAGGTCGCTCGACTGTTTCGTGTACATGTGTGTGCGCGCTTGTGTTCGTTCGCTTCGCTGTTGAGGCGTATTTTCGATCTGATACCACAGTAGCGTTTGGTTAGGAGTGTTTCGGGCTGTGACGTCACAAACAGATACCATGATCGAAAATGACATTTCACTGTCACTATTGAAACTTGGCGGTAAATATGAACCCGAAAACAAAGGTAGCGTTAGCCTTAGCGGTACAATTATTTGAAGGAGACACCTTTGATGATGATTTACTTACCATAGCATGTAGTAAATCGGGGGCAGCGTGTGTAATGTTGCTTTATTATTTCAAAAGGAGGATATACAAAAACATTTTAGATTAGGACATTTGTGCGGCGAAGAATGGATCCAGTATTACTTGGACTTTGATTTTCACCAGCTATTTCGGTAAGAATCACAGAAATTCTATGCGATACTCTTTACGCCATGCTTTGTGTGATATCCGTGTAATTTTCTTATTTTTTATAGGATACGTAAAGACACTTTCAAAGAACTTGTCAAAGTTATTGCCCCAAGATATGTGCCAAAAATGCAACGTGGTGATACCCCTGCTGTTACAGTTGAAAAGGCAACACTTATGACCCTATGGTACCTGGCCGGTCAGTCATCAATGGAGAGTTTGGGTGACCGGTTTGGTGTAGCCCCTTCTACAGTATATCATGAAGTTAATCATATCGTTGATATTCTTTGTACATTGAGCCCTAAATTTATAGTGTGGCCTAAAGATCATGAATGTGCAGTTGTAAGACAACAATTTTATGACAAAGCAGGATATCCAGGTATGCATGTTACTTTGCATCATGTGTATTACTTGTTTTATACGTATGTATCAATTGCCCACATCAATAATTGTTCAATTCAAAATAATATAATCTCATTGTTGAAGCATTGAAAAATTGAACCGATGTAAGTGGTGTGTACAATTGAACTGTATACAAATACGCCGCTTTTTATACATTAATCTTTTTTCATTGCTATCAATTATACAGAATATTTAATGTCCACACTTTGCAGGTGTGATTGGTGCCATTGACGATTGTCACATTGATATACTTGCTCCAGCTGATGATCAGGATTCGTACACAAACAGGAAGATGAATCATTCTATAATCCTACAAGGTAGTTCTTTGTGATGGATTAAAATCTTTCATCTGCAGATAGTGAAATTGAAGCAATATTTAAAAAGTAATTTTTATATGCAGGTATCTGCACAGCTACTAAAATATTTACCAACGTTTCCATTGGTACACCAGGATCTCGTAATGATTGTCGTGTTTTGAAATATTCAACTTTCTACAAAAAAGTAACCTAGGAAGGACCCGAGAGCTTATTTTACAATCCTCACAATCATCTTGTTGGTGATAAGGCCTATCCTAACAGAACTTGGCTCATGGCACCTTATAAGTATGTGCAATGTTAAATATGCTTAATATAATATTCTTATATTAGGTAAGAAATGAACCTTTCAGTTTATATACTATTCTTTCATTTCCAGGGACTATGGAAATCTTACTCTGACTCAAAGGCGTCATAACTTTGTCCATAGTTCAACAAGAACTGTCATAGAACACGCATTTGGACTTTTAAAGGGACGATGGCGATACCTGCTGAAATTGAGACTCAAATGTATTGACATGGCTACAAACTTTGTTTTAGCATGCTGTGTACTTCATAATTTCTGTTTCCTACATAATGATGAAGTTATTCAAAACATGGTAAATGATGATAGACAGATGCGACAGCAAGATTTAATGGAATATCATGATGCAGCAAATGCAGACATTGCTATACAGAAGAGAGACCGCATTGCCAGCTTGTTATAGCTTGAAATTTATTTTTCTTTTATGTGTTACAGTGGATATAAAATACTCATATTTCTTCATGTATTGGTGGAGATGCAGTGGCACTGTCAACTTGAGGACACACTTGGATATCAACAGACTCTTGTATAAGGCGCGTATGTGGCAGGAATTGGCGTATTTCTTTATTATCCGGAACGACAAAAACGGAATTGTCTGACAATAGAGAGTAAAATTTATTAGACTACAAACTGAGGACATAAAACTTTAGGTTAAATGGCGTTTCTAATATACTTACTCAATTTATCATATACTAAAAGCCCTGGGTTTTTTGGATCTTCCGACATTTGGATATTACCAGAATCATCCTGACACAGCATATGCTGGTCAAGATTTAAGATGATGTTGCGACTCTTTCCCGCTCAAACACTTAACTGCAAACATGCTAATGACCTCCCCGGTTTGGTTGGATGTTTGGGTCCTACCAAGCTAACGTGTTAGCATCGGTGACGTCACAACCACAAACGAAAATGGCCGTGGTCACTTCTGGTTGGTCGTGGTTGGATAACGAAAATACGTCTTTGTTCGCAGTCTAACAGTGGCATCCCTCTTCTGAACACGACTCTATTGCGTGACAAAAATTTCTTTTGCGAAGTATGTAATATATATTAGTATACTAATCAATTTGTATGTAAAATTTATATAAGTATCCATACGAGATATGGCTTTCTTTGAATGAGATGAATTAAAGTAATCATTGTATTATAACCTTATAGGCAAATCTCACGTGCGTGACGAAAACGATTTCTCTTATAATACAACATACTAGGCGAATTTTAAGGAAAATAAAATTATTTCAGGACAATCTTAAGGAAAATAAGGTTCTACATTTAACAAGTATATGTTATAAAGATTTTATATTGTCTGCCAAAATTAATATTTCAATCTCAAAAATAAATATTGCATCATCGTTTCCGTATTTTTCTGTCTATTTGTATATTTTTATTTGTATATTTTGATACTATATTTTTTTTTTATATCTACATTAGCTGTGACAACAGTTTTCTTATGAATTTACTGTCACTATGTACACTCTGTTATGCAATGGTCTTAAGTGTAGATACAAAAAATATAATTGTATTTCCATATTAATTTGTAATTTCAGAAAGGATTAAATGTATCATTAATAATCGTGAAAAATTCTGTAATGTCGTTAATAATATAATTTTAAAGATAGATTACATACATGCTGTGTTTTTTCAAATAGAACAAATGTAATTTGAGATTTGATATAAGAGATAAAATTATGAGACATTACAGTAAAGAATTTGCACATAACATATTTTTAGCCATAACAGTAATTCTGAAAGAAAACTGACTAGTATATTCGATTATTCTCCTTGTGCTCAAAGAATGGTTAATGTGACAACAATTTTCTTACAGAATTACAATTACAGCTAAAAATTTGTTATATGCCAAGGCCTTTATTGTAGCTGGCAATTTTACTTCTCGTATCAAACCTCACATTTACATTTGTTCTATATGAAGTAAAACACGTATTTAGTTATACTAATTACACTTTTATCAACATGACAGTATTTACATGTGTGAAGTTAGCATCTCAATTATTAGCATCTCAATATGATTAACTTCAAATTTACTTGCATCCTACAGTTCCTGATAGGTTTTAAGAATTCCGTCGAATTAACCAATAAAATCACGTTTTTCAAATTGAGATGCTATAACTTCCAGTAACACCTAATAACATCTCATCGTATTTCGAATATTTGACCACGGAGAAGTAAAAATCCGTGTAGTTCTACCGCCTAGACACGTCCTGTCAATAGTTCTGACGGTTAAACTCCATACAAAATAATTTTTTGTCACAAAATCAATTTGTCCTACAAATCATTTTCACCGTTAACAGCGAAAAGCTCTCATTAGCCCTTTCTTTAATTAGTTATTTGAATTTATCGAGAGTCCGTTTATACTTTTTATTACTTTTTATACTTTTTATTAATTACAGATTACTTTGGCTTAATTAAATTCAGTTTTTTTCTGTTCAATAATATAAATTTGATTTCCACATAGCACTGAAAAATAACAATTTGAATTAATGTAAAATTACATTTATAAATAAGTTATACAAAGTTTATATTGTTTCTCATCATTATTGAAAAATATATTTACTTACAGAATGGAAAAAAAGAAAATTCGTGACTATGTTCTCATAAAATTCATAGAAAATTTAAAGCAGACAGACAAATCAGAAGCGATAGACATTGTTCCCAAAGCTTGGCTTCGTTATAACAAAAAAACCGATCAGTTAGATACTCCTTTCCCCTCTCCCCCGTATACATTTCAAAAAATAAAAGATTTACGTAACAAAGTGACGAATCTTCAAGAACCTGACCAAAAATGGTCGATGTATCCAGTAACTGTTGTTGGCCATGCAAGTAAGTAAATATAATAATTGTTTATTATTTTTCAGTAAAAGTGTAGCAGATATCTTTTTTATTTACTTTATATGTGCAGGTTCATGTAAAAACGCTTCACTCAAGCTACAGGAACTGGAAGAAAAACCCTATACATTCACAGATGAAGAAAATCCTGATCAAATATCAAATTTAATAATGCAAGAAATTAAACATCTGTGTAACTCAAGCGATTCTGACGTACCATCATCGAGTGAGGATGACATTAAGAAAGGTATTATAATAATTTAATGTTTATAAATGAAATTAGTAATACATATATATTTAAAGCACTTTACTTTTTTCAGATAATTTAACCAATTTTTTAACTAATTATATAACATGTATAAAAAAAACATTCGTAACTCTTTGTAATTACTTAAATGTTAACAATTTTTCAGATACAAGTGATGATGAAAGATTAAAAAGGAGGACAACATCAGTCAAAAATATGAAAAGTATTAAATATTTACACATATATTTGTATA